CTTTCTTTCTTTCTTCCCTCCCCTGCCTTCTCTCCTTCCTTTTTGCCTCCAATATTGTACAGTTATTCCTGCCTTTCAACTTGTCTTTTATCTCTTACCACAGCATATTTCTAACTCAGTATCTCAAGGTGATTTTTCACCCGGTAACTGTTCTCTTCCTCTTACTCTCTGGTATTCCTATGGTTGCTTTCTTCAAATGGCAAAAATGCCATGGGCCCTGATATTTTCAGTTGTGAGTATCCAGTCATTCAAATAAAAAGTATAGAGATGATTCATCATAGAAGGTAGTCTTAAACAACAAATTAATAAAATATATGAATTATTATCTTAAAAATCCTCCCGATAAAATCCACAAATGTAAAGCAAATGAATGCCCCAAAATGTTGGAGGAAATACAGTTTTGCATTAATTGCTTAAATAATGGCCTAAAGCTCCTCAGGAAAAATAAAACAGACAGTTATACATAAAAAGAACTTCAGTAAAAGAATATGTTTTATGAATAATGCATGCACATTACATATTACTTTAATGGTGAGCTAAATTATTCTTACTCTGATAGTGGGAATGTATAATTGTTGTTTTTTTATAGGGTTGTTGAAATTTTTTAATGTTTTATTTATTTATTTATTTATTTATTTATTTATTTATTTAATGCATGAGTGTTATGCCTGCATGTTTTAAGAGAGCATAGGGTAGGGGTTTATTTACAAAAGAGTGGGCACCCCACATCTATGGCTGGGCTGCATCATGAAGTCCACACTCAAATACAGATCCTGTGACCTCCTGACAGCCACATAAAATGGTGAGAGGTGCCTCTTGGTGTTCTTGGCTTATATACCCTTTACCTGTCCCCCACCATGCAGCTAAGGTTGACTGATTGGGTGGGAGGGATAACTGACTCCCCCTTTGACTCATTGATGAGTGTGGGAAGGAGGTGTGACTATAGCTTGCTGGCATAGTGGTCAGAGTACACTTCCAGTTAACACTCCACCCCTTCTTCAGGCTCTTATATTCTTTCCACATACCTCTTTGGCAAAAGTCCCTGAGCCTTGGAGAGTGTGGTCAGTGTGGGATGATCTTCCTCCTACTGTGGCAAGGCACTAAACTTTGACATCTCTGCATTGTCAGTTTTCCATGGGCTGTTGGCCCATTTCAGTGGGCCATCCCATTTGTAAGTACGTAAAAGCAAGAAGCAAGAACAGCTAAACAGTGGCTTCTATAATAACTTAATCTACAGCTGTAAACACAAATGTGTCGATGGTACTTTGACAGGTGCATCACATCCATCTAACAAAATAATGCAGTGGCTTCCCACTGGAGCCTATATTCTCCCCTGCCACTCGGAGTTGGCCTGGTCTACAATACCAGATGTGTGTTCCACCCATAGGAATGGGCATTATATACAATAGAAAATTTGCTCGTTGTACATACACTAGACTCTCCACTATTGCATCAGCCGAAACATCTTGTTCGATATCTTGATTCTGCAACACATGGGGACTGTAGTCGAACAGAATTATAGGGGACAGTTCTTCCCCAGTCATCTACATATCACATTTTGGCACCATGAAAGCCACCCATCCAGTGGCAGGGAGTTTCCAGATTAGTCCAAGCTTGATTTCTCCTTCTCCTGGACTCACATCAAGCAGCATCTTCAGAATAGGGTTTTTCCATCCACTTCCGGTGTACAACCAACATTATTGGCAATGGCCTTTGTTGTGTTTGAGACCTCTAGTATCCTTCAGGCCAACATCTCATAGTGGGGCAGCCCACCTCTGGTTTTGAGATTTTCATTTAGTGGCCATATCACTTCTGGAAGGCTTTCTTCCATCTCCTTTGGGTTCTTTCTGTGCTTAAAGTCCCCCCCCGCCTTTTGTGACTATGTATCTGAAGAATTTTTTTCCTTTATTCTCATAGTGTTTGGATATCCCTCCTTCTTCCCCTACCCTTTAACTGCCATCTTTCTATGTATTTCTCCCTTAGTAACACCTTTCACTTACTGTTCTTCTCTCTCAGGTTCCTTCTTTCCCTTTACCTCCATTTCCCTTCCATATTCTTGGTCCCTGTACTTGTATCAAGAAATGCACTCACTTGTAAGTATTTGGTGCTAGGATCCACAAATGAGGGAAAACATACATCTTTCATTTTTCTGAGTCTGTGTTACTTTACTTACTGTAACAGATTCTAGATTCATCCATTTACTTGCAAATTTCATTATTTCATCTTTCTTTACTGCTGAGTAGAACTCCACTGTGTAAGTGTATGACATTTTCGTTAATGACTCCTCAGTTGAGGGGCACTTAGGTTGCTTCCATCTCTTAACTATTGTGAAAAGAAAAGCAACAAACATGGTTGTACAAGTGTTTTGCAATAGGATGAGTCCTTTGTGTATATGCCAAGGAGTGGTAAAACCCGGTCATATGGTAGGTACATTTTTAATTTTTTAGAGTTCTCCACACTTTTCCATAGAGGTTTCATGAGTTTGAAATCCCACCAGCAGTAAATGAGAAATGAGTGTTCCCCTTTCCCCACATCCTCTCCAGCACTTGGTGTCATCTGTTCTCTTGATCCAAGCCAGTCTGACTAGGGTAGGGTAAAACTTTAAGGTGGTTTTAATTTGCATTTCCCTAATTACCAATGATGTTGATGTTGAACACTTTTTAAGATACTGCTTAGCCATCTTTACTTATTCCTTTGAGAACTCTCTGTTTATATCCTTAGCCCATCTCTTAATTGGGTCCTTTGCTTTCTTGCTTCGTTGTTTTTTGAGTTCTTTATATATTCTGGATGTTAAACCTCTGCCACATGTGTCACTGGTGAAGATTTCTTCTTACTCTGAAGGTTTTGTCTTCACTTTCTTGATTGTTTCTTTTGTTGTACAGAAGCATTTTAGTTTAATGAGGTCCCATTTGTTGATTGTTGACCTTAATTCTTGAGCAACAACTGTCTGATTTAGAAAACCTTTCCTGTACCGATATCTTGTAGGTTTCTGCCAATATTTTCTTCTGATAGTTTCAGGGTTTCCAGTTTCACACTGAAGTCTTTAGTCCACTTAGAGTGGGACTGTTGTTGAAGGTGATAGATAAGATTATAGCTTCATTCTTCTACAAGTAGGGATATAGGTTTGCCAGCACCATTTATTGAAGATTCTGTCTTCCTTCCATTGTGTGTTCTTTGAATATTCCTCAAATATCAAGTGGCTGAAATTGTATGTACTCAGTTTGGGGGCTGCTTCAATCATGTTCCATTGACATATGTGTCTATTTTTCTGCCAGTGCCATGCTGTTTTTATGACTGCTCAGGGTTGCTTTGCCTATCCAAGGTCCTTTGTGGTTCCATACAAATTTAAGGATTTTTTTTCTAATTATTTAAAGTGTATTATGGGGATTTTAGATGGGATTGCATTGAAGGTATATATTGCTTTTGGTAGCATGGTCATTTTCAAAATATTAATTTTTCAATCCATGAGCATGGGGGGGGTCCTTCCATCTTCTGGTGTCTTCCTAAATCTCTTCCTTTTAAAATTTAAATTTTTCATTGTAGAGATCTTTGATATCTTTGGTGAGGTTTATTCTAAGATTTTTTTTTGTATCAATTGTGAATGGGAGTGTTTCCCTGTATTCTTTCTCCAGTTGGTTGTTATTGGTATATAGGAAGGCTACTGATTATTGTACATTGATTTTATAAGTTGCAAGTGCTATTTTACTGAAAGTGTTGATCAGTTCTAGGAGTTTTCTGGTGGAACTTTTTAGGTCTTTTAGATACAGTATCGTATCCTCTGCAGAAAGGAATAATTTGACCTCTGCTCAGACACAACATATTAACAGAGGAATCTATAGCTCCCATCATATAGGACCCAGTGAGAAGCATACGACCGAGTCTTGTGGACATAACTGAGTATTGTAGAGGGTTGCAGATAGCCACATAGCAGTCATAGGCCACTGATGCCAGAAGGAAACATTCAGCAGCAGCAAACAGGACAAAAAAGTACAACTGGATGAAGCAGCCCACAAATGAAATTCTCTTGCTGGAAGTCAGCAAGTTCTCTAAGGTTTTAGGTGTGATGACAGTACAGTAACTGAGGTCAAGGAATGACAGGTGAGTGAGAAAGAAATACATTAGGGTGTGAAGCTTTGCATCTAGATGAACCCTGATGAGAATCATCCCTGTGTTCCCCAGCACAGTAACCAGGTATATCAGGAGAAACAGCACAGAGAGGACCAGTTGGATCTTCTTGGAATCTGTCAGTCCCATCAGGATAAAGTCAGGCTCGTTTATGTGTTTCCAGGTGTTCATAGTGAACTTCCCTGAACTGTTGAGAAATCAAAGGTGTTGCCTAGTAGAAATGATGTCAGTAAGAATTTTGTTTAGATTATAGCACAGTATATTTATAATTAGGTTTGTATTTTGAAGAAATTGACAAATACTTTATAAATAGTACTGAAAACATAAATCGTCAGATATAGATATAGGTATAGATTAGTAATTAGATATGATATGATAGTCTCTCATTTCATCTCATTACCACAGTCTCAACCCTTTCATTAAAATTAGAACTTGTGGCTGGAGAGATAGTTCAGTGGTTATGAGCACTGGCTGCTCTTGCAGAGGACCCAGGTTTGTTTCTCAGAACCCACATGGTGGCTAACAATTGTCTGTAACTCCAGGTCTAGGGTATCTGATACCTTCATGACATGGATACACTTACATCCATGCAGGCAATACACTCATACACATAAAAACTAAATTAAATTAAAAAATAAATAGAGCTCAGGAGCTGGCTCAGTGGTTAAGTCCACTTGTTCCTGTAGAAGACATAACCACCATGAAAAAAGAAAATCCTCATTTTTATCTCTTCTAAAGCTACCTTGTAAATTTAAGGATACTTACTGTGAGTCAAGAACTGTAAGAATTTTCTTCCAGTATTATAGTGTAGAAATTTGTTATCTTATATTTTTTAACATATAAAATATGAAAGCCTTTAAAAGACCTGTGCATTTCTCCAATATAACATTTTTTTCCTCAGCATATTTATTTTCAATCTTTTGTGAATTCATTATTAAAACCTTTCTCAGGGAAATTAAATCACACTAGATTTGTTTTGTTCCTTGTCAAATGGAAAATTTAATAGAAAATTTTGTCTTAAAAATATGCCTGGGAGTCAGTTAAATCTCCCCAGAGCAGAATGACTGCCTCTCACTGTAATGCCAGGGTAGCTCTTGAAATCAGATTGAAGTTCACCCATCATGAGGTCATCCTCAGGGACCAGTTTCTAAGGAAAAATGTTTGCCAAGCTCTCAAGGTCAAAAGTTCAAGGACAAAGGAGCAAAGATAGTCCCTCTCCTTAGATTCTCTGCAATGAAACACAAGAACATTAGGCCCTCTTTCATCATATTTTACACTGAAAAAAAATTTAAACACCTAATTATTATATAAACTTGATCATTGCAAAGTGATAAAATCAGGGCTAGAATGAGAAGAAAAAAATTTCGGGAGAAATCAGTACTTTTTGTATAATATCATAAAGGATGGAAAAATACATTTTATTGTGAACATTTGAAAGCATGATTTTCTCATAGGAGCAGAAGATGTTGATCAGAAAAATAAAATTACAGTGTAACAAATTTCAAGAAAGAAAATGAAAGCAATTAAAAATCACTGCAGACATTTTGTTAACATAATTTTAATTTCTTCCAATCATTTTCATGTGTACATAATATGTGAACACACATTTATAGATCTGCATAATTTTATTAAACACAGTGTTGTACCATTTCCATTTAAAATTTTACAACATACTATAATATAGGCCTCATTATTTTTCATAAACCACAGCATCCTGTGTTAGATATCAGGTATTGCCACATAATTCACAAGTGTCAGGGACTGAAAGTCACACATTTGAAGGTTTCAGGAGTGACTCCATTGTTGCCATTTGCTTAATGATACCACATGTTCAAAAGCACATAATACTTGTATTTTTACTATTTCAGTGGGTTTGAATTTTTTAACTTCATAAAAAAATGACAGCAGGAAACCTAAGTAAGCTCTGAGATTTGTAAACAGTATAATTAATTATTTGAATAGCAATGAAAATGTATGCATCTATATGATGTGTAGTGAGAGGTTTAAATTCCTTTTTAAAGTAAGAAGCTATCAAATTCACATATCCATATAGTAGGACTCTTATCATTTCTTTATGGTGAATAACATGCTGCTCTTTTTAATTTGATAATGCTTTTCAACTTTAAAAATTTCAAGTTTACTAATCATTATTTTACTTTTACTGTTACATCTTAACTTCATTAGTTTGAATTCGCCATTGTTTCTATACCACCTTGTTTGAACTTCTTATTTTAGTTTGTTTCTGTTTAGCAATAATATTAGTGTGTAATATTTGAATTATTCACATGTGTCCTTTTACTTTGCATTTGTTTTAAAATATTTTATTTCGTATTTTATGTGTATGAGTATACTGCCTGCATGTAGGTTGGTGTGCCAGTGTCATGCAGTACCGTGGAGGTCAGAAGAAGGTATGGGATCTCCTGGAACTGTAGTTAAAGTCTGTTTTTAGCTGCCATATGGGTGCTGGGAATCAAACCTGGGTCCTCTGTAAGAGTAGTCAGTGCTCTTATGTGGGGACCTAAAGGCCCCACCTTGCATAGGTCAGAAAGGAAGTTACTGGGGGCATGGCCTGGCTTGCTTTGAAAGTCTGAAGAATACTTCTGCACTGCTGAGGAGTGCAGTGTGTGACCATCCTTAAGATACACCCTCGGTGGGGAGGGGGAGTTCCAGGTGCCTTTATAAGCTTTGTGACACTTGAAATAAATGAGTCTCTGTCTGACTAAGACTCGCCGTTGCATCTGAATGTCCCTGGGTAATGGGGGCGGTGTGGGCTGGTGAACAGCATTCTTACTCATCCCCAATTCTCACCTCGCCTGGGGTCGCTGGTTCGAACCCCAGTGATCTGGCACTCAATGTGGCACTTGAAGGAAGGTGAAAGGAAGAAAAGAAAGAAGTAAGAAAGAAGCAAAACCAGATTGGGGCCAATTGAGGAGGTTTGGGGTAAGCAAGACCCTAAAAATAGGTAACACAAGTTTTAAGTTTGAAGACCAAGTGCTTAAAGCACTGAGAGATATGCTTAAAAGCAGGGGATTGGGATTTGTCAGATCCCGTAGCTCAAAAGGTTTGGGCAGAGGTGATTCATTTGGCTCACTGGCTACTTGGGGCTAATGTTTTTACTGGGGATACATGGGAACATGTGGAACATCTAACTTGACAAAGGGAGGTTCAATTGGGGGTTGATCCACCGCTGGAGTTCCACCCTATTATTTCGGGCTTAATGGCATGCTTTTGGCCCGAGAGCCCTAAGCCCTCGGTGCCACCTCCTGATGAGCCTTCAGAAACCCTGGCTGGCATGGGAATCATGGGAAGGGTTTGAGGAAGAATGCAGAAATGCAACAGAAGTGAATCCAAAAGCAGCCAAAGTAACAAGCAGCACCTTGGGCTTGCCCTGGCCAGCTTCAGGGCTTCCTCAAACCCATGAAAACCATCCCCATTTCCAGGATTCTGGCCCTGCTCAGGAGGCTTCTGTCAGGCCACAGGTAGAAGCATATCCTATTAATGTAAATCCAGGAGGCGTGCACCCTGACCCCTGGTATCCCTGGGAGGCAAAGGATTTGAAGGAATTATAAAAGGCAGTGGCTGAGGATGGCCTGGGATCACCCTGGGTAGATACTCTCCTCTAAGGTTTGGCTCATCAGCAGTGTACTACAAAGGATTGGCTGGACCTCTACAAAGCAGTCCTTCCTAGCCCTATATATATTAAATGGTGTGCCCTCTTTAAGGAGGAATGCAGGATACAGGCTGAGAGGAATGCAAGTGACAATCCACCAGTCCCCATTACTTTTGAGATGTTGCCTGATTCAAGTGACCATTATGCCACAGGGGAGCAACAGTTGGGAATTCCAGCCCCATATACAGAACAGGTCAGGGTTGTAGGATTAAATGCTTAGAGAAAATTGGACAAGGGGACTACCAAATCCCCCCCTGCAGGAATTAATCAAAAGCCTGGTGAACCCCTCTACGAGTTTATAGACAGAGTGGAGAAGAGCTTAAAATGAAAATTACTCCCAGACCCATTGAGGGAGCAATTCACTAAACTCTTGGTATGGGGTGGAATGGAAGCTGATCACAAGATAGCCTGTGCTGACCTTAAGGACAGGCCCATGGAACAATGGATAATTGTCTCTAAGGAGGTGGGAACATAGAGGGGGCAAACCAAAGCCATGGCTGCTGTCTTACGGATGCAAACAAAGGCTCTGACCCATGCATTAACCCAGGCATTTAATTCACTTAATTTGGGTCAGCAGGTAACAATGGGGCCTAGAGGGATAGAAGGTCCATGTTTTGGCTGTAGCCAGACTGGCCATATTAAAAGAAATTGCCCTCAGCAAGAAAACTGGCCTAAGCCTGGAGTGGGGTATCAAAAAGACCCCCATCTATACCCTGTCCCCAGTGTCACAAAGGGCTCCATTGGCAAAAGGAATGTAAATCCAAATTTGATATTGAAGGAAAGCCGTTAAACTAAGTGAGGGGCAGCCTGCAGCCCCATTGACAAAAGGAGGATTTCCCCATGATCGGCTTCATTTACAATGCCCTCGGGGAGGGATCAGAAGAGGAGCAAAGCCTTGGCGAATTGGACAGTCCCTATTATCCCTGGTGTAAGGCCCAAGATGGATCTTGAAATAGGTGGCAGGAAGTTTCACTGCCTAGTGGACACAGGGGCTGATAGGACCATTCTTAGAAAGGAGGTGGTCCCATCATGATAGCACTTAGTTTCTGGACCCCGAATTCTAGGTGTGGGAGGATACACCCCATCAGAGGAGACTCGAGAATGGCTCACTTGGCAGGATGCAGATGGCACTAAAGGGGAGGTGCGACCCCTGGTGGTGGCAGGGTTATCCACCAACCTTATAGGACAAGGCCTTTTATGATGACCTTTTAGATCTTGAAGAGTCTGATAGGCTTCCTGAGTCAGCAAATCAAGGGTTGTCTTGCCATATCAATTACAGGGGGGACCCAAAGAAAAAGTATCGGGTTCACCCCAAATTCTAAGGGCCACTGCCTTTCAGGTTCCGGCTATCCGGTGGTCCCCCAGGGTGCTTGTATGGGTGGAGCAGTGGCCATTACCCAATTCAAAACTATAGGCTTTAAAGGAAATTGTGCAGGAACAATTACAGTTGAGCCACATCCAGCCTTTTGTAAGTCCATGGAACACACCTGTCTTTATTATT